ATAAAATAAGAGCGTCCTCTGACTTTTGGCTTAGGACATTTGCTCAAGTCAGACAGGTTTACATTGCCATATAAGTTTATCAGAATGCAAAACCCACTAGCAGTGGGCCAAATGCGGGTCAGAAGCAGGACAACTGCAGGTTGATTTGGTGAGTTATTTTTTTTACCAGAAAAGGTGCAATACAAAGGGCAGGGTTTGTTATTGTTGTATATTTTCTAAGGTCATATTCTCCCTTGCAGTAACATACATGTATTTATATGCATTTATATGCTGTTTCTAAATGCATGTAATGATTTTATATTGTATAATTCTCACTATGTGTTTACCAGTATTTAGGTTTATTCAGTTTAGCTGTGTTTAGAGAAAATACAATTCTGCCCATCCAGAGGGAGATTTAGGTATTCTGAACTCATGTAAATGCAACTACATCTACATTCAGGAAAACTTAAATCTGGGAAGCATAACATTTGTTTATACTTCCCTAACAGCTTTAAAACTTTTAAGGCTACTGCTCCTCTGCTGATGATTAGAGCATCAATACCTCCATTTATAACTCTTATATTGTTTAAGAACTAGATAAAGGATGGAGTTCTTTCTTTTAAATTCAAAAGGTTTTGGCTTTTTTAAAGAAAATAACATACATACATGGGTAAGGATTTTTTTCTTTTAACAACTTAAAGGGTCACTTTAAAAAGCAGTACCCCCTCCCAAAAAAAAGTACTTTCCGTTATGGGATGACAGCTTGTATCTGTCTCCTGCTGTATCATAAACATTTGATATGGTTTTTTTCCCCATAAAATAAAATGTCATCTTTATATTTCACCCATTTTTGTATCTCAGTGTTACTGACCTCCTTTAACCTTTTATGGCCACGTGTCTACACTGGTAGTGACACCGGTAAGCAATCTATGTCGGCACGGCTGGTTGTAATCTCCACCAGGGGCGCATGTGGCTTAGTGACAACTCAGGAGCACAAATGGGAAGTAGATAACAACCCATAAAAGAAAGTGCCTGAACAAGGACCCTGGTTGTAAGATCACCTGGTATTCTTTTAATGAAAATCGCAGATTTAAAAGGATTAAAACACTGTCAATCAACCCACTTTGTCTGAGCCCAGGCCGAAAAAACTCTACCCCCAACCCTGAACTCACAGGAGAATACTGCAGAGAGTTATGCCACGGCATCAGCCCGGGGTTGGGTTTTAGTCTAGTCCATAGGTAGGCAACCTCAGCCCTCCAGCAGTTCAGGAGCTACAAATTCCATAAGGTATTGCATGACTCTGACAGCTGGAGGGCCAAGGTTGCCTACCCCTGGTCTAGTCAGTAGTTCTATGTTAGAGCCTCTTGCTGTAATAAGAGTCACTTGTGTTAGCTTTGTTAGCTGTGTTGCTAGTGCACTGCTGGCTGGAACAAAAGAATTCCTAATTTTTCCCAGTTCCAGCATATTTTTCTTGCCTTACATTTACCAAGTATTATATGGTATGCTTTGACCGCAGTATAATTTAAATTTTTATATCTTAAAAAATAATCTGCCCTTGTTAGTATTTATTTACTTATTTATTTTTCTTTCCTTTCCTTCACTATTACAAAAAATATCAAATGTTATTACCGGTCATTTCAGAGTATGAAGAGTTTCCTTTTTAATTTTATTTTTCTGAAATAAGTAAATTAATTACAGCTGCCTCATTTTTCTGTTTTTTTTTTTTTTACTTCTATCTTTTTTGGATAGTGAACTGTAACATTTGTACTTATAAATAGGAAAGAATAACAGTATTCGGATATAATGACACAATTGAATGGCACTTTTTTTTCCAGATAAATATTTATGCAAATTCTAATGGTCAGATGTGAAATTAAATATAATTATCTTGGCTGCACTTTTAAAAAATATTTTGGGCAAATGAACAAAACCATCTGCACTTATCTTATAACATTTTATAATCTTGGCATTGTTTAGCTTAAAAAAAAATTATGTTCCCCACAGCTCTGAAAGTGAAGCCGGCTCTCAAAGTGCTTGTGACCAGCTAGTGACTCCAACAGCACTTGCAGCTTGTACAAGAGTTGATTCCTGTTTCACCCCGTGGTTGGTTCCATCGTTTGGAGTGTCTGTTCAGTTTGCGCACCTGGAGCTACACTTGTGTCACCATCTGGATCAGTTAGGCTCAGGTACCTGATTATTTATGATTGTAAATAGAGATTTGACTGACTTATAAAACTGTGGCATGAGCTAAGTTTTCAGAAAAACATGGCAAATAATCAGTCATTCAATGTCATTGTCTTTGTAACAAAGTTGGTTGTTGGATTGTGCATCATTCACAGGTTAGGCATCAGATGGGGATATTTGTCTCTTACATTTCTGTCTGAACAGTGATGAAGGAATATAAATCCTTTGAAGTCAACCATTTCTTTAAAATCCACACACAAATCAAGTGTTTTGGGGCTGTTTTTTTTTCTTCTTCTTTATTCGTCTCCATTGAAGGACACTGGAATGAAAGGAATTCTCAAATAGTCGGGTTATACTGCCACCTACAGAGAAGGTTGGGACATTGGCAAACAAAAAAAAAGTTAAGGCAACCCGCGTATAATCGAACCTCCATGCTTCAGTTTTTTGCAAGAATCTTAGGAGGTTGGATGCAATATACTTAGCTCTGCTGAGCAAAAAAAATCTAATTATATTTTTACTATTATTATCATTATACAGGATTTATATAGCGCCAACAGTTTGCGCAGCTCTTTACAATATTAGGAAGACATAACAATCAATACAATTCAAGACAAGATGGTAAGGAGGGCCCTGCCCATGAGTGCTTACAATCTAAAAGGGAGGGGGAAGTGATACATGAGGAGGTAGCTGTGTGGGGATGAATTGTTTGAGAATGTGATGGTTGAGCGGTTAGTTCGAGGTGGGATAAGCTTCCCTGAAGAGATAAGTCTTCAGGGATCGCCTAAAGGCAGTCAAGGTGGGAGACAGACGGACAGGTTGGGGTAAAGAGTTCCAGAGGATGGGAGAGACTCTAGTGAAGTATTGGAAGCGAGTATGGGAGGAGTTGACAAGGGAGCTGGAAAGCAGGAGGTCTTTTGAAGAGCGGAGGGGATGTTTAGGGTGATACTTTGAGACAAGGTTTGAGATATAGCTGTTGGCAGAGTTGTGGATGGCTTTGTAAGTGATTGTTAATATTTTGAATTTTATCCTTTGGGTGAGTGGAAGCCAGTGCAGGGATTGACAGAGGGGGTTGCAGACGCTGAACGGTTAGTTAGGTGAATGAGTCTGGCAGCTGCATTCATGATAGACTGAAGGGGGGATAGCCTGTGTAGTGGAAGGCCAATGAGGAGGGAGTTGCAATAGTCAAGACGAGATATAACAAGTGAGTGGATGAGTAATTTGCGGTTTCTTTGGTGAGGAAGGGACGTATTTTGGAGATGTTACGAAGGTGAAGGCAGCAGGATCTGGATAGTAATTGGATGCGGGGAAGAAAGGTGAGGTTCGAGTCAAGGATGACACCTAGGACCTTGGCATGGGAGGAGGGTTGGATAGTAGTGTAAACAATCTCAAGGGAAACGTTTGGGGAAGGTGCACGGGCGGGAGGAAATATCAAAAGCTCAGTCTTTGAAAGGTTGAGTTTTAAGAAGTGTTGTGACATCCAGACGGATATGTCAGTTAGTAGATTAGGGGCATGCAAGGACACTGAGGGGGCGAGTTGTAGAGTAGAAATAAATATTTTAGTGTCATTGGCATAGAGATGGTATTGATGCCATGTGAGGTTATTAGTTGACCAAGGGAGGAGGTGTAGATAGAGACAGAGCCTTGGGGGACCCCTACAGAAAGAGGAGGGGAGGAGTTAGATTTGTAGGTGACACTAAAGGAGCACTTAGATAGGTAGGAGGAGAACCACAAGAGAGCAGAGTCTTGTAGGCCAAGCGAGGGGAGTTTTTTTGAGGAGAAGCAGGTGGTCAACAGTATCAAAAGCAGCAGAAAGGTCTAATAGCAAGAGTAGGGAATAGTGGCCTTGGTTTTTAGCTGTTAGTAAGTCATTAGTGAGTTTTAAGAGGTACACTTCAGTGGAGTGTAGGGGGCGAAAGCCAAATTGTAAGGGGTCGAGAAGGTTGTTATCACTCAGGCGGCTCAGGCACAGCCTCTGGGGTGACCCAGTCTCTGACAGCTCATGTAGTGAATCACCGGGTGCTACCCCTTAGTTGTTACTGTTGGGGTATAATTTTAACACTTCTGCAACTGTCATCTCATCGTGGTAGAGATTAAGACTGGATGCTGATGTCATCTGCTAGGTGGAGAGTGCGCATGAGCTAATGCCATTTAACCTAGAGGAAGCACCATTCCACTGCTGCTTTTGATGCACCATTGTGGATCGTGGATTATCCAGTCTCGTTCCACTTCTTGCTTACAGTGACTTGGTCACCTCCAGCCACCTGTGACCCTCATCGCCATCAGGTGCTTGTGTCTGTGAGTATGCATCACTTTAGGCCTACTTGGTTATTTTTATGCTATGTGGTGCAACTTGTTTTTTTCATAGACACACATAGAAGACAGTTCCACTGCAATGGGTGACCTGGGGCCATCCTCTACTATGATCTCCCATTGGAGCATCACACTCTCACAAGAAAGTACTTGTAATCCATGCAAAGGTTACAGAAGTTCTGGGCTGAGATTCCGCATTGCACCAAGGTCTTTAAAGGCAGTTTAGATCATTAGCAACTGGCAGAAAGTTAAAATAAATTCTGGTGGCCAAAATGTCCTCTCACCACTAACGCTGGTCAAGGTCCATCCCCCAAAGGCTAGGGGAGAGGTCGCGCCATACTTTTCCTTCCAGTTTGGCAAACTCCTCTTTTCCAGTTTTATTCAACACCATACCATATTCTCTGCAGCTTTTAAAAGTGACTTTACCAGTGTACAGTTTTTCTGATTTTGATTTTGCAACTTAAGAAATACATACAAAAACAGTCAGCCAAGTCATCCTGAAAAGTTTTTTTTTTTTTTTTTTTTAAATAAATGAGCAAAATGTTTGTGGTCCTAATGCCTCTTAAGAGTCATACACATGGAAAAATTCAGTATGTGTGGCCATTTGCCTTATTCAGCCTGTGATTGTCACTGATGGCAAAGACACATCAAGAAATTTAGTGTTGTTACAGCAGTATGGACATGGACAATAAACTGTTCTGTGTTTCTGGCTTAGGAAGTCAACTAATTTATATATTAGCAGCACTCACAGCTTCAGAAAAACAAAGCTATTATGGAGCAATTCCAGGCAACAGATTAAATCAAGCAGTGAACTATTGATACTGTTGAGAGAACACAGTACTCAGTATCTTAACGTGCATTCTACATAATGTAGATTCCAGAGGTTTCCTCACATGTAAGGTTGATGGCTATGCTTCTGGAAACCTATACTGTACAACTTTCATCTCACTTTGTTGCCTGCAATGGATGCCCTTTGGTATGTCTATTCAAATTTACAAACGGATAAGGAAAATGGATTCCCAACATCACATTACTAGTGGTGAGGAGTGGTGCTCTAGTTTTTTTGGATAAAAAATAGAAAGCACTGCAGAAATCCCTGTACCCTTTCCATTGACTCCGGTGCACACAAACAGTCCCTAGATCCATGGGTTATTGGTCTCATGCATAGCTACAGATGTAAGACTGCTGGGACCTTTTGGCTTTTATCTATGTCTTCATTCATATTTTGTGATGTCCTGTAATTTTATGATTGGCTCGCTGATGCTTCTACACTACTTTAAACTTTAATGCTTAGAAGGCTAAAATCATGCGTTTGGCACTCTATACTTAGACACTAGACACGTTTTTCACTCACTGTGACACTCCTGCTCAGAAAATCTTTGAGCCTGTCATATTTTCTGTACAAATTACTTCCCTTTTCCATGTATCGTCATGTTTTTTTTGGCCTTCAGAGTGTTTGAATAGATCTGTTTTGTTTCTTTATTCGGCTGTTTAAAGGTAATTACGGTGTGGAAAAAAGTTAATTTACACAATAAAAGTGTTCCGATTTAGAGCTATTAGGATGCCTTTTAAAGGATGTATTTTAACGGAACGCCATTTCCTTATTATGTTTTACTTTTGATGGTCTAGCAATGTGTTCTTTTTAGTCATCTTTCCATGTTTTCTATGTTATATTTACCAGTAATGAATTAAAATAAAGGCAGTGTGGATGTGAGCCTGGAGCCCAGAGTTCTGAGTCTCTGTACACATAGGTGCTATATACTGAAGCATATCCAGCACCTGTGTGTATCTGTACCTGTGACCAATCCAGCATAGATCTTGATGGGACAATAACCAATAGCATTTAATTAATTTTATTTTATTGGAGTCGGATTCGATTAGAGAAAAGCTTGGATTTGTTTGCTAGGATGCTGCACCTTTTGCACATCATTGTACTTGCCTTCTTGAATAAACCAAGTGTGTACAAAGCCCCAAGGATGCACATTCTAGATGTGACTTAAAGTGACACTAAACTCAGGAGTTAAATCTTAAAACTGTATTCTAGTACCTTAACTATTAACATTACTGGACCTTATTCGTCTGTCACTCGGCTGTAGATCCTAAAAATCATCTCTGAATTGGTGCTGACACTGTCCTTCCTTCTGGCAGGTGGCTACTTTTGTTCTCCATGGGCCCTGTGTGTGTTGTAAAATAGCCACCTCTCCAAGTTTGCTCCCTTGATGGACTACAATCTCAGTACAAATGAGTAAACCTGAGGTTGTAGTCCATCACAGGAGTGAGCTTGGAGCAGTGGCTACTTTACAACACACACAGGGCCCATGGGGAACAAAAGTAGCCACCCTCCAGAAGGAAGGACAGTGTCAGCACCAATTCAGAGATGATTTGAGGATCTACAGTCGAGTGATACACAAATAAGATACAATTTTGTTAATAGTTAAGGAACTTGAATACATTTTTAGCATTTTGACTCCAGAGTTTAGTGTCACTTTAACTATGGCTTCAGCAAGTAAAAATATAAGGTTGGAGGAAGAGGCTTAGAGTACAGACAGATTGACTTGGGAGTATCTTTTATTGCATTCATGTTTTAATGTTTACAATATACTTTACCGGGTTTCATGTACCTTCATTCACTGATTCATAATTCTGCCCTGTAGGGCCTTTTTTTTTCTTTCTTTCAAGTATTCCCCGTTATGGGGTGACAGCTTTCTCCCGATTGTGCCACTGTATTGTCACCCTATCACATGTGTCCCTGATAGGGACTATAAGTGGCCATGGTGACAGACATTGCACAATGAAGGTCTACTGTTCTCACCATCAGGAAGCCAGTCTGGAGCAATGATGTGCATTGCACTCAAGTCTTGGGAATATGCACTTTTTCTTGTGTTACAACTCTCACAGAGCCTGCCTTTTGAAATACAGCTCAATGTCTGAACAATGTAACATTACCATAGCTTGCTGGAAGCAATGCACGATGGGCTATGTAGTCTTCAGAAATGGAGATAACATCACATGAGGCAGTGGGGAAAGAGATGCAAAGCACACTGGGAATCCAGGAAGTTGGTGAAAGTGATGGGCAGAGGGAAGGCGGCACTCACAACATAAAGGGTATTTTTTTCAGGTCAGCTTTGATTGCATTATCAAAAACAACTCTAGTATGTATTCCCATTACAGTGCTGATGTTAAAACAGAATAGTACATGCTGGGGGTTTACAACTCCTTAAAGGAGAACTGTGGGGTTAGGGCTTTTCCCCATAGTTCTCCTGAGGGTAACGGGAGGACACAAACTAGCGTCCTCCCGTCACCCTAAGCTCGGTATACCGTGAGCTACATCTCGCGGTATACTGAGACGCCGCACCTGAAACGGATCCCGACAATTATGTCTGGATCCGCCCAGCTGCGTAAGTGACAGCTGGCTCTGCCTATCTAGAGGCAGAGCCAGCTGTACCCGCCCCCTCCCCCGTCCGTTCCGCCAGTCAGCGCTGGAGGATCGGAGCGGGGAGGGGGGAATCCAGTCCCTCCCCTGTCACGGCTCTCTGCTATCTAGAGGCAGAGCCAGCTGTACCCGCCCCCTCCCCCGTCCGTTCCGCCAGTCAGCGCTGGCAGATAGGAGCGGGGGGAGGGGAATCCAGCCCCTCCCCCTGTCACGGCAGAGAGCCGTGACAGGATCGAGAAGTGAGCGAACGCCAGTATGTGTTTGCTCACCTCCCGATCTACTATGCCGACCTGTGACAGTTTCATTGTCACAGGTCGGCTAGAACTATGAGGATGAGTGAAAAGCACTCACCTCATAGTTCTCCTTTAAGGATTCTGAGTTTCTCAAAAGATACTGCTCCTGAGACTATGCTCATTTTACTGAACTACTTATGTGTATAAATTGTATTATATCTTAAATTGTTTACCTTTTTCTTATAGTGCCACCCAGATGTCTGCAGCCTTTTATTTGTGATAAAACAATGCCCAGTGACCTGGAATATATGGTAGTGTCTCTGAAGGAACCGCAGGTTTACCTGCGTCAGTGGAGCGGATCGACTCTTTGCAAAGAGGTGCAGTTCTCCAGTGAAGCAGACTGCAAGCTCTTGGAATGCCGGAACCTCACCATGAGAAGCCTGGTGAAGCAATTCCATGTGCAAGGTCAGGTGGCCATATCGGTTGGAACCCTGGAAAAATTAATTGATAGCGCCGTTCTGGTGGATCCAATAGTCATGGACTTTGGGCAGCACTCTGTGCACTCTATTAGCACTGCAATCCAGGCTTGGCAGCAGGTAAGGACCCATGTTCTGAGTTTGCTAGCTCTTGTGCATTGCAGAATGAGGGCTTGGTATCCATGTTTATGTAAATATGAAATGTAAAATTATATTTTCAAAAAATGTGGCTATTGTTTTCTGTAAGAAACATAATAGTCATTCAAGACAAAGGTAATGTACCCCTGTTTGTTAATACAATTTGAGGGAATATACCGGTAGGTATAGTTGCAGAACGGAGGTTGCTTTTAAACATTTCTGTAAATGCAGGCGAGGCTCCTGATATCAAGTATTGCTTGACATCTTGGTCCATTTCTGATGTATTAGAGGGTAATATTAAAGTAGTATTAAACTTTCAATTTTTTTTTTCAATTTTTAATGAATCCATTTCAAACAAATATACATTGCGAAGCAAAGTATTTCCTTACATTTTTGCCCAAGTGCTTGCAGTCATCATGTTTCAAAACTGTTGGCTCCATCTCTCTCAACCTGAACTTCTCCAGCAGCCGCCCGGGTGCTTGCTCGTGGGAGGGAGGAGCACGGGTGGAGCTTGCCTGGTTCTGAACATGTGTTTGTGGAGACACACGCAACTTACTACAACACATAAGGATGGCTCCATAGGACCCTACAATGGAAAGGAGCCACCCTGAAACAGGATATCAGGGCCAGTGCTCAGGGGACCAGTTGATTCTGCAGGAAACTCAAGGAGCTGCCCATCTCTCTCTGCCCCAGTCTGAACACTCCTGTACAGTCACTGCAAGAGGCTGATAACATGTCAAATGAAAGTACTTACACAGCTCTCATTTACTAAAAATAAATACATTTAAGGATGTAATAATGAACACAGAGCTGCATTAGTGTTGTGTATAAATGCTTGGAGCTCAGCTGCAAGGTGTCCCATCACTTTTTCTTGTTTTATAATGTCCTCGTTGTTTTACATTTCACAATTACATTTCTCCAGTTATTGTAAAGCATCGTGTTGTCTTTTCGTTTGTGATTGCAAAATCTCAGCAAACAGTTTATGATAAGTCAGTGTTGCCTACTTATAGAGGGATAAATGTTCACATCCTGGAAGCAGTCACCTTTTTGTAGCCAGTCCATTATTTATCTGCTGGGTTACACTACTTATAAATGGCTGGTGTTAAAATGTAGCAGGATTCGCTGATTTGCATTTTCCTACTCTGACCTGCTAAAGAAGGTTCATTAGATCAGCAGATTTACAGGACATGCATTGCAGACCTGTACTACCAGCTATATATTCTCCAACATTCATCTGGTCAGACAAACAGAAGCAAAACATTTGTCAGATTATAAATACGGTACTGCTGGTTAGGGACTGCAGATGCAGGGGAATTAAGGAATGCTAAATCTTCCTTTATACAATCCGTTCTCTCTAAAGAGTCCAATACAGAAAAGAGACTCAATTCATAATATGGATATTTTGGAGAAGAGCATCGTGCTTTGTGGACTCTCTTGAATGCAAATGATTGCTTTTTAAATCTAAACTCTAAGCTGATATAAAAGACAGACATTACTGCTGCTCTTTTAACTATTAATACATCATTAAGTACTTGAATTGGACCTGATGAGGTTTCTTGAACTCCCTGTACAGCAAAGCTTAGAGAGGGGAGAGAGAAGCAGTACAAGGATTAGTTCATATGCTGGCAAAAAAACATGCTATTAAGAGAAAGCAGAGTGACAGAGAGATGAGGTCATCACTATACTGCTCCTCCCTATACTGCTCCTCACCGTGACTGGGGCGGGTTCAAGACCAGCTGTTCTCAGAGTAAGTGGGTTGAATGATGCTGGCGATCAGACTGCGGACATCTAGTGTTAAACAAAAAGTACTGCATGGGAAATCTTTGGTTTGAAGCTGAATATTCATACAACATCTTCTTTGCTACTTTATCTTTTAGGTGCTATTATTTTTTATCTAATTTTTGGCTGGACTTCTGCTTTAAGTCTATGTCAAATTGTACAAATTTGTATCTTTACTATCGGAACCAGTACACTTTAAATTTAGCAACAGGTTATGACTGGTCTGCAAAGTATCAGATATGTTTTGATCAATCTGTCTTGGTTTCCAGGGTGCATGAAGCTATTCGATCATGTCTAATTGCTTGCCTTTTTTCCCATGGAAAAGTGAACTTTGGTTTCATTATACACATTTTCTATGTCTGGCCCAGCTGAGAACATGTTGCAAACTGGAGCTACCTTCAAGCATCTTCTGACTATTACAAAGCATAGCAGTTGTTAGCTATTTCCTATCCTGGCCCTATCACATGCATACAATATATTAGGTAATAGGCCATTCAGTGTATGATTGCTAATCACTCTATTTGTAGGAGCCAAATCATCAATCTTGATTGTGTAAGAATAACTTAGACATGAGGCACGCGCTGGTCAGTTGCCCCTGTAGTGAGACATTAATGGAGTGCTTGTGCAATGTCTTAGATGCTCCATGCGATTCCCCTCAACTCCCTTCTAGAGCTGTTTGTCTCTTGTAATTAATTGTATGTGTAACATTGGGAGCCAGAATTCCTAGCCCTAACCCCCTTGGCTAATAAAATGATCTTCCCTGCCTCCCCTGGGTTCTCGGCTGCTCCTCCCATGAATTAACCAAAGAAAAACAAAGTCCCTTTTTATTAATACGCCTGCAGAGCCAGAGAAGCGTTTGGATTAATTACCTAACATGGCACTACAGCAGCAGCTCTACTAGAAGATGAAACATCTGTTTTATATCAAACATTCTTTTTAAGGGCATTCCATGGCTTTGCTTGTTGCAGGAGGACATTCATAAAACAAGAGCTAGTGTGATCTGAATCCTTACAGCTGGTTTGAATATCACTAAAAAAAAAAAAAGAAAAGAAAACATTTGCAGTTTGAAATGCTGCTCTTAGTGTCTTGTTCTGCATAGCACATACTAATAGAAAAGGGCTTATTCCCTTGCTCGCTATTCGTAAGTATGTCTGTGGTCACCTAATGGTCATTAAATTGGCATCTTACAGCAAGAAAACCTGCAAAGAAACCTACATAGATATTTATGACTTTGCACTCACCAACCTCCCTCCATGCCATGTGCTGATTGACTATGTCCCTGCATCATTAGTGAAAATAAAATGCCAGAGATGTGACACCATCAACGTCAGTACCAGCAAACATGTAGAGCCTCCCATTTTAAAAAAACCCATACTGCAGCACTTAATTATAAGTGCATCTGCATTAACAGTTTTCCCTTAGTTTCCCTGCAAATTCCACAAATACCTGTTTCTAAATCATACGTTACAGCCCACAGGAGCTTAGATCATGGGTTATGCAGCTGGCTTCAGGAGATAGGACATTGTGAAAACAAAGCTGTAAGGAAAGCTCTGCATAACCCCTTCCACTCCTAGCAAGCCACATTTTTTTTTCTAGTGTCCTCAGGAGAATGAACAGCTTCTCTCTGCTCTGAGAGAAGCAAATTACTTTTCTTTTTTCCTTCTCCAGATTCTTCTAGCAAGATTAACTAGCTGCTACATGGTCATTGGGGCTTCTTTTTTGCAGCTTTCCAGAGCAGATGACTCCTCAGCTGAGCCTTGGGACCCCGCCAGGAAGATGATGTGGGCCCAGCCTGTAATGTTTGTGTTAGCACTGGCACCATGTGCAATGTGTTGAGGAAGCCACAGGGTGCTATACAGGTCCATGGCCCTGGGCCGTTAGCCTATGGAACAGCCTATGGAACCCTGTACCTGAAGACCACCTAAGGGTATGTCCACTGGGAAGGGGTGAACATCAGGATGGAACTTGGTCTGTGGTCCCTTACGGGTTAACTAGTGAAGGGTTGGCTCTGAATTAGTTGCAACCAGTGGCAGGAGCAGTCCAGTCACCCCTGTTTTCTTTTGTTTAATTTGGTGCCCTTTTCTTTAATTTCTTGGTCACTGAGAATGCTACTGCAAATGCACAGCCTCCTTTCATTTAGAGCACACTGCACTTGCATGCACCATTTTGACCACACGCATTCCAACTTCCCTCTGCTTCTTTTCTGAAAACTAGGGAGGAGTTTTCGGCCACAATGTCGGAAATAATGGGTAAACTTTCAGCCCTATTAGAGGTCTCAGATTGCAGGGACTACAAATTGGCCTCCTATTCCTATCCCTCAGAGTCCATCTCTGATTTACGTCTGTTTCTGCTCTTCTTAAAGAAGAGGATGAGGATGGTGCCTTATCCGGTTCTGAGAACTTGGTACAGGGAGATACTTCTTTCAAGCTTAAGCATACCATTCCTTATTGACACATGCATGCCTTGCCTAAGAGCTGCATCTCATCTCATGGAGTATCTAATCCTGATCGTGAATACGGCTCAATCCAGGGTCTTCCTTCTTTAGAATAAGCTTCTGTTTCTTCCCTCCCATGTTCGAACCTTGCGCTCCAGAGGCCGCCCAGCCAGTTCCAGGCAGTACTGTATGCACAGTTTCTCTCTAGACCCTTGACATTCAACTTTCTTGTAGCCTAAGACAAGCAAATTCTGTCTCTGGATCATTCCCTTATTCCTGACTAACAAAACCAGGTTCACCCTGTAATTGTGAATTTCCAAGCCGGTGCTGGAATTAGGAAAATCTTTACTCCCAATGACCTGGAAGGTGCTTATGACAGATGCCAGCATGTTAGACTCGGGAGGAGTCTTGGATACCCTCTCCATGCTGGATTCTTGGTTCTCAGCTTCTGATCATAATCCTGGAAGTCTGGGCAATTTAGTTGTCTTTTCAATGCTGAATTACTCGGCTGCAAGCTCACCCGACCAGGATTCAGTCAGACAGTGCCATGGCAGTGGCATACATCAAGCATCAGGAGGGCACCAGAAGTTACCCATCTCACAGAGAAGTAGACTTCTAATATGAATAAAGTAGAATTAAACTATCAGACTTTTTTTCAATAATGAATCCAGATCAAACAAATATTTATCTCCCATCCAAAGCAAATCTTTAAATTTGTTCCCCAAGTATTTAAAGTTCAAATCACTTGAAATAGCTTAAAATCATTTTG